TTTAATCCGTGTGTTCATATTCGTGTTAATGTATGGCAGAGTGGTCATTCAGGTCACCCGGTAAGCCCTGGATACTCAATAGATCACTCGCTGTCTTTGGATCAGTGTCACTCCCTGCCACGCAAGAAACACTGAATGAAACCCCGAGTCTTGGGGGGGGGCGTGGCATTCAAAAGAGGATCTACAGGAAGTCACACTACAGGACTAAACCCGGGGAGAAGCGCTGCAGTAAACACAATCTGCTCACATCCGCACCCAGAGTACCTTCCCCACCCTCCTGAGGTTTAATCCCACGTGCTGTAAGTGGCTCTACCACTTGGGTGCCCTTCCTTCCCCAACGCATGAGCGCCCACGACCCAAGCACCCATGCCAGATAAGATCTCGATTTTGAGGATTTTTTCTTCTCATTGCAAGGCTTTTGGAATGTCTCCGTCTGGCTAGCTAAGGGCCCATTATAGGAATGAGCTATGAATGATATAATTCCGGAAATGAAAGAAAAAAAAACATGGCGAACATCCCACAACGAATGTCATGCGGAAATTTTTGGGGACAAGAGGGCAGTAGTACAGCAGCAACTGTTAGAGGAATGATCAGTCTGAACCTCTGGACGGATCTCTTCCTTATATAAAGCACAACCTTGGTGTGTCGGTTTGTTTGTGTGTGTGTGTACGTTTGTCTGTCTGTCCGTCCGCAAAATGAAGTGAGTGATAAGGCAGCTAATGGAATAGAACAAGCGCTAACAGATCTCGTCCAGGATCGACTTTCTTTTAATCTTGGCATTGTTGGATCAGATGAGTACTTGACTGTAGCCGTCCAAGATTAGGTAACTTTATTAGGCTAACGTTTCGGCTTCTTCGCCTTCGTCAGAGCCTGAAAAAGTCAAAAACAAATGTGACTTGCCGCTCAAACGCCTCCACAATACTGAAGACTATTTCCATATCTTAGTAAACCACCTAACGGTATCGATCGATAAAGATATGCTACTAGGCCTACCTTGATCAACGCCGCCGTGACGCGAGGGCGACCACCCTCGAAGGACTTAGCTTGTGCTTACTGAACACCACCACCTCCACCCCCTCGACCTCAACCTCGACCTGACCTCATGTAGATCAAAACCCGCCAAAACGCCTCCAGGGTTTTCCGCGCCGCGATTTCGGGTTCATGCGCCAGAATGGACACTGTGATCCCGAAATCAACATTGTCATGGTATTGCATGCGGTGAACTCCAAGCGGCGTATGAATTTGTGATCTTCGCAAACCGTCCAAGTGCTCCTTCACCCGTACACGCAGAGGACGGCCTGTTTCCCCTATGTACTCATTATTGCAGGCCAGGCAACGTATTGAATAGATCACCCCTGCCCTCATGCAATCACCTGGCTTGCCACCTGGGCAAACCACAAAAAGCTTACACAGGGAAACGCGGTTCCGGCGGCTGCCGGGAGACCAATCTGGTAACATAAATGCACATTGAAACAGAGCGATGAATGGGAATGGACTCGAGAAAGACGCCAGTTGCTCCCAAGTACTTGGAGAGTAAACTAAACTAACTACTCACTATGGAACCGATAGCTCACCAGGAAGGCTTTCAGGGCTTTTTGAAAACGGTCTTTTGCATGATATAGGGGCAGATGCGGGAACCACAGAACCATGTTTAATTTTTCCTGAACGGCCCTCTGAATACCAGAAAAGGGGTCCCTAGTTCGATTCCTCGTGGTGACAAATTTTTGCATTTCGAGTTGACGTTTAGCATGAATAATTAGTACCATATTCATGATTAGGACCGTCAGTAACCCTTACAAATAGACTTTGATTAAAAAACTGGTGAAAAAGGTGTGACACCACAGTGGGGCTGCTTGGTGTCACACCTCTTACACCAATTTTTAAGTCAAAGTCTTTTTGTAAGGGTTACTGACGGTCCTAATCATGAATATGGTACTAATTATTCATGCTAACTCCATTTTGCGCGAATTTTGGAACGTCAACTCGAAATGCAAAAATTTGTCACCACGAGGAATCGAACTAGGGACCCTTTTCTGGTATTCAGAGGGCCGTTCAGGAAAAATTAACCATGGTTCTGTGGTTCCCGCATGTGCCCCTATATCATGCAAAAGACCGTTTTCAAAAAGCTTGGCACGCCCTGAAAGACCTTCCTGATCAGATCGACTTATGATAACCGCTCACTCTGCTCACTTTCAGAAAAAAACAGCTAGCATAGGTAGGTAGTACACGGCACATCGCCCGGCCCGTCACCAAGGTGCAAAAAGCTTGAGCATCGCGTTGTCGTCCAATTTCTCAATCTTACAAAAAATTGCCGCCGGATTGCCTATTTTGGGACACTGTTCGTGTATAATCTATCGATACTCTGTTTTTGTTATATTCACCAAAGAAAGTGGTTAATTCTCCGTGAAACTTCCCAAGATTTATTGAATCTCTAACATTACAGGTCACTCCGCATATTCTACGAACTCTGAGCAAAATCGGACCTCAGAACATATCTGAAATAAAATTTGCCGTTGGCAGATCCAAGCAGGGTTGCTATCTCCGTCTAGATTTTTTGCCAGCCCCAGCAGTGAATGTAGAGGCATTACCGAGAAAATACGTGGAGACTGGCGTTTCTGTAAGTTTCAACCGTGTTCTCAAGTTTGGGTTTAAATGAATTGTGAATACTCTAAATAGTACGGCGATGTCAAGAAGGTCATAAATGTGGGAACTCATCTACCAGAGAAAGTACTAGGAGCTTGTCAGTAAAGATCACATCGCTCACAAAGGGTGCTAATAAAACTCAAAAACCCCAAATAACGGGGTAAACGAGTGCTTCGAACTCTGAAGTGAATAGTTCGGAAGTCCTCTTCTGAATTAATATTTTGAACCATGGTGTAAAATCCATGGGCGGAAGTGGTGTAGTGGCAAGTGGCACGCTTACCACGCGAGCGGTCCGGGGATCAAATCCTGGGTCGTGAGTCGCCCGGGCCAACCAAGCCTCCCTCCGGGGTCGGTTAATTGGTACCAGACTTGTCTGGGAGGATAAAAACACTGACTTGTACATCGGCTGGCCCCCGCAAGTCATTGTATAGGCCACATCGCATTCAAACGCCACTACGAATGTACAAATGGAAGTAGAATGCGTGCCGCATCCCAAAAAGGGATTGATCAACGGCAAATGCTTTATCCTTTATCCTTTATGGTGTAAAATCCAAGTGCACTTGTAATAAGTTACCCTTCCCTGCTCCACAGCCACTCTGCAAAAGGCTTCAGTTTGTGGCCGATGTCACACTTTGCGAATCGCTAGTTGCAAGTCCCTCGTTTGCAAAGACTGACAACGGCCTATGTTTCTCCAGCTCTGATTCGGTTTTTAAATGAGACTGTCCCAACACACCATTAGTGATGGAATCTCGTTCATTTGCTTTGATTATTAACTGCTGTCTCAACGCCGCAAGTCGTGTTGCCAGTGTTTCAGAAGAATGCTAGGTTATGAACAAATATAGTTTGAAAACCTGAGTTAGGGCGAAACTGTGCCACGGTAGCGTCACGTGCAGCAAACTTGCCCGGTAAATTAGTGGTGCGAGCTCGAGTCGCGCTTGGGGCGAGGGTTTTCTTCATAATCCAGCATACGCACCTCGGTTCTTCGAAAATCTTAAATTTTACTAGATAATTTTTTCAAAAAAAAACAATATGTTTTTGGAAGCCTTCAGTCATTTCTTCCCTAGTCAACTCTTTTATGTTTTATATAATACAGCTCAACACTTTTTCCTCCCTTTCCTTAGATGAGGAGGATAAAAACAGTGAATTTACTCCCGTAAGGGTTTCTTCAAGCCATCCCTCTAATCTTCTGAATTCTGAGTTTTCAATCAATAATCTATTTTTTTCTACAGTGTTGTGGAGACTTTCCTTTCGATGACAATTTAACGACGTGCGGACTTTTCTATGAAGGAAACGAAACCAAATGCGACGTCTCAATACAAACTGGTCGACCGCAACTTTCGAAATAATTCTTGATTCTGTTTATTAGCTTTTGACGACTTCAGAAAGTTATACCGATAATGAAATAAATTTGTTTCTTATAATTTGTACTCGTAATTTTATGATTCCAATTTTGTAAAAGTTGGATCGACCCTCGGAGAAGGAGAGTAAAAAGAATTTTCGAAAACTCATAGGATTCCATTATACTGAGGAGCGTTACCAGAAGTACTGGCACGTTTCTCATTGGTCAGCCCGATGTCTTTCTTGCATTTTACCGTATCACGAGGAGGGTCAACCACTGAGAGGTCAAGCGAAAGCGTAATGGTGCTGCATCCCTTCAGCGCAGATGTGATGACACAAGTAACATGGTTATCGTCTCCAGAGAGATCTCTTGCCCGTTTCAGGGAATTATAGCCAGTTCGGGGAGGAGGAAGGGGAGGGTCGGACGACACGAATTATATGAGTGGAAAGCTGAAATGCGCATGTTAACAAGACCTCGTTGAGAAGGGGAGGAAGCGTTGCAATAGGGGTCGATGATTGCAAGCCCATAAAGATAGCCCTAATCGCGATATTGTGCAACGACGTTGGCATGATCTATGTAGGTACGGAACCGTTCAATTTTTTGATAGTAGATGTTATGCAGGTACTGCAATCGAATCTCCATGCGCGACAAATGGTGCGTTGCGCACTCAATCTCTTCCACGAGCTGGGTGCCGAGGAAATTTATCAGAAGCGACCCTTCTCCCTCCCCCACCCCCTTCATCTCCGTTCTTTCCTCTAAAGACTGCAGTGGCTAACAAGGAAAGGCTCCAGGTCGCCATGGCCATTCAAGAAGAGATGTATACGCTAGATGTGCCTTCGAACGCTGATCTCAAATCTACCTTCCAAATCTGCTAAACGATTCTCTGAACGGAGTTATGAAGCAAAACAGCGCAACGGTAGTGGTCGGGACTCACAGTCAAAACGTCGTAGGATCGGTCCCTTATCGTGTTTACTGTTTTCCATTCTTCAGGAATACAGCTAAACGGCTTTTAATAGCCTATTTAGCTGAATTCCTGAAGAATGCAAAACAGTAATTACGATAAGGGACCGATCCTACGACGTTTTGACTGTGAGTCCCGACCACTACCGTTGCGCTGTTTTGCTTCATAACTCCGTTCAGAGAATCGTTTAGCAGATTTGGAAGGTAGATTTGAGATCAGCGTTCGAAGGCACATCTAGTCGTATACATCACTTCTTGAATGGCCATGGCGACCTGGGAGCCTTCCTTTGTAGGACGGTAGCAATTCAATTACCTCTGAACCCATTTTCCATCCCTAACATGAAGCTTTACCTGTTTTCAACAAAAATATTCGTCGAACGGTGAGCGGAAGAGGCAGCAGCAATGTTACCAGAAAACATTCAGTATTTTGGAATTCCCAAAAAAGTCCTTCAGTTTCGCGAAATCTCATGAAATCACCCCCCGAAAATCCAGCACCCCAGAAGGATGTACCAATAACTTCATCCTTATGGCGAGTTGGACGGAGCGAGCTCCCGAAGTAAGGCGTGAATTACGCGTTCATGACGCAATCGCGTACATTGCGCTCGCGTTGACGCGCGACTATTCTGCGTAACCATAATTCATGCCAACAACGAGGCTACCCCTGCGGTCCAGGGTAGCAATCCAAGAATGTCGAGCGCAGAGGCAACCGTGCGTTGCGGTGGCTCACCTTACCTCAAGAACCCGGTATCTGTTACCTGTTTCCGAACCGAATGATTCTGGTAAATCTGAGATGTACTGGAATAGTTCTTGAAATTCCCGAATATTTTATTGCTTCTGGACTTTGACAAACATCCATCGAAAAATGCACATTCTTCATTAATATAAGATTTCAATTAACATCTAAAAAAACGAAAGTTGAGAAAAGCACTTTCCAGAAAAATCTCACGCCAGTTCATAAGCAATTGTTGATTGGATCAAAATCGATACTCAGAACATTTGACTCGGATGAAATTTCAAGCAACAAGTGTTATGGATATCACGAGAAAATAAAGTAAAAGGTAAAAAAAAATTGAAGAAACATGATGTACACAAATATGAACTGCAAGAATAACTAACAAGAATAATATAAGTCACTTGGGGTACCAGTGGGTAGAGATAAAAATCGATATATCGATTAGATCGGACTACAGCGAACAACGCGTGCGGGCGGCGGGCGGCGGCGATTTTCATCATCATCACATTAAAAGGAAACGCGCGTGTCAAAGAGATGAGATGGGGAATGATGTGGAGCAAAACGCGTGACGACAAGGCTACTGTATGTCGCACTACAAATCGATATGTGGATTCTGATTGTATTGATTGATACTGATCTGAAGAAATATGACAAGTAAGCGGAATATAAAGTTGAAATTCACTCGGATTTACAATTAAGGCCAATTCTAACTGAAGCTAAACAGATAAGACACGCGTCCAGGTAACGACACTACGCGGCTGAACAATCGTAAGAGATGTGACAAAGATAGGTAAATTTGAAATATTATTATACAGTTAATTACGATGAAAAATTGCAAACGGTCTTAATGTGGACGTGATCGCGGCGTTCACAAAGCCCGAAGGTCGGATTCGGACGTCTGAAGTGGCGTTGGTGTGTTTACAAAAATCGGATTCGGCTGGGTGCATGGCGTCAACCCGGTGCTGTCGTTCAAAATCGTTGTTTACTGAAATTGTGGTGATAAATATAGCACATATAAATTAAATTCATAACGTAATTTAGAAAAAAACATCTAAAAAGCTAAGTAATTCACATCGGCAATGGCATGGCACTTCAGAGGACCTTCTCAAGCAATTGCATCGTGTAGTTGGTTGGAACCCTGATAAACGGTTCGCATTTTTGCATCAGCATAACAAATCAACTGGATATTTTTGAGGTAAATTATACGTTTGATGATATTTCAACTATGTGCGGTTACTGCAGCCAAGCAGAAAATCTGACACCTGCTCTTTACAGAGTTGTGCCTAGCAGCCAGCAGTAGCACTCAATTTTAGGTCAAGGGAGGTGTTCTGTTTGTTTTATATGAATTATTTCAACCATCAATTTTTGAACTTTTGTTAGCCGACTGCAACTCCTACTTTCGGATAGCACTGTATATTCCTCCACAATCCTCTTGTCTGTGTAAGGATGGGATGATCGAGGAAGTAGATCTCGTTGTACATCTGTAATCCCGTACATAGAATGAGGAACGTAATAGATTACTTCTTCTTAGATTTAAAACTGACAACCCTGAGTCGTGTGCAAAGTTCCTGAGGCCGTTAGTCGTTCTACCTGGTAGGTGCCCTTTCTTCGCCACGATAAACCGAAGAGCGCACAACAGCCTCACCGGCCCACACCCTCTTTGCATCTACTGCTTTCAGTAATTTCGCATTTCGCTAGCTTCAGTCTAGATATCAGCGATCTGACTATTCTTGATTATTGGTCACCTATACTCCGTTAGATCAAAATTTTTCGGCATGGGTGAAATTGAAAGAAGAAATCAGGATGCATTGCAGAACAGCTCATCATAGAATGCGTTGACTGTTCTCAATGAACGGGTAAAGTTAAGTGGGAATGAACTTAGCAGAGATTACGTAAAAGAGGGAGCCATCGCGCGAAACGCATGCGCCTACACGGAATCAGTTACGTGGCTGCGGTAGCGAGCGTGGCGCTCTCACAACCTGAGGTACGCTGGTTGCTGAATAGGACTTCAAAAGCGCTTCGCCCCCTGAAGCGATCTGCCCACTGGCTGGTTCACTTGTTGATTTGGACGAGCTGCGTGGCCAGAAGCGGCGCGCGAATGGAGCATCTCGATTAAAGCGTTGTTTGGTATGGTTTCGGCATTGCAGTGAACTCGTTCATCGCCCACTTTCTGAGTGGTTACGTTCATGAGTGAACCAACCTCCAGAAAAGGGGGTCACGTTTTCTTGACGAAATTTCTTGCTTTTTTCGTACCGGTGCACCAATGAGCACCACCAGTCTCCGATAAACCCTTCTTGAATCTATCGTAATCAGTGCCTTTAAGTTCACTGCGAGGCATGCTGCCATAGCGGAACCCACAGAATCAAATGTCATCCTAGTGCGTGTGTTGATCCTTAGGCATGAGGGCAGATATTTTAGCCCACTCCCCACCTAGTTGGTCAGCCTAGACCACTAGTGCAAGGTTTTGGTTCAGCTCTGTCTTCACTACAGCCCACTACCGTGACTGTCCATCCGAACGCATCTTGCTCCGCCTACTTCTCCGAGTCTAGGTAACAGATGAGCATGTCCACGAAAATCTGGCAGTCAGACAAGAACCCTCGGTTTGTCATATTTAATGAGGATAAGAATGACTGTAAAAGACTTACATCCAGGAAAACCAGCACTATATGTCCCAGCTGTGGTATAGGGAGTGGTTCCTGTGGTGTAGGTGATGTTCGTCGGCGTCGACAACGGTATGTTGGTGTTACCGAGTCCAATCATATCGAAGTTAATATGATTAGGGCGAGATATCGTGTCGCTGTTCAAGTCAGCCAATGAGACATCCTTCTCGATTTTGGGACACTGAAAACACGACATTGAAAAAAGCCACACTTTGCTTCAAACATTTCAATGTTGAAACCTGATAGCCTAAAATGTTTAAGAAGTTTTATCACAAGAAATATAAATCTTCCAAAACATTGAGTGAAAATAATATGATAGAACAGGTATCGTTTCACTAGTCAAGTCAGCCAATGAGACATTTTTCTCGATTTTTTACCACTGAAAAAAATTGACAACTGAGCAATAGCTCCAATTAGTTCTTCTGTACTTGAAAATCTACTTGGAAGAAAGCCGTTAAACATATTAGCTAAAGCTGTTAAAAAGTTCAAACGTGGATGGAGGATATGGAATTCATCAGCTTTGTTTAGCACCTGACCTTCATATCCGGCTCAAGGAAATTGGCGTCGGAATGTGCTGGCAGCTGCGGAGCCGGCAGTACTCGTTTTCGTTCACCTGCGATGTTGCTTCGATAGTCGGTGATGGGATGGGGGTTTGAAGCTGAAAAGTAAGAATTATTTTTTCCCATGTCAATTTTACCATGTCTCCAAATGATACAGCCACCCCGTGTTTTTTCGTTGATTCTTGCTTGATGAAACTAAATGGCAGCCATCAATTTTTCTTT